CTAATAAAGAATTTAATTACAAAACTAAACTCACATGTTTATTATACTTATTTTTAAAATAAGTTTATTCTTAAAATTTTTGATCATATGTTTGATTGGTTATAGAAAGTTTTGATATTTTGGCTGGATTTGGGTATAGACGGATTCCGCATTGATTCCTCCGCATTTATTTATGAAGACTTAAAGTTACGGGATGAACCTAGAAGTTTTGTGGAAGGTGCCACGCCACGAGATTATACGTACTTGAATCATATTTATACTATGGATTTAATCGAAACTTACAAGCTGTTTGGAGAGTGGCGAAAATTCGTAGATTTGTATGCTGCTAAACATAATCAGGATCAGAAGGTACAAGAATTGATTTTCTGTTTTCTTATATTAAATCCATCCATATCGTGCTATCTTCGTGCATGATGCAATACGTACGTTTCTCTTTTGATTCAGATGGTAGTGATGGAGGCGTACACTACTTTAGAGCACACTATACAATATTATGATTACAATTTGCTGCCTTTTAACTTTAAGTTTATTAGAAATTTAAACTCAAAATCGTCCGCGCAAGATTTTAAACGAGAAATGGATTCTTGGATGAATTCAATGCCAAGAGGTGAAGTCGCTAATTGGGTGGTACGTATTTATATGAAACTATTATTATGATGATAAAAACATTACAAACAAATTACGTTTTTTCTTTATAAAATTTAGTAAAATGTTTGTTAGTCTAAATTTATTGATGTAAATTGTGATTTTTGTCTTTTTTTTTTTGTAAAACTGAATACATCATATGTATTACATATTATATTTTTAAAGGAACGTATACTCTTTCATAACAATATGAAAAATTAGTCGTACTTACAAAGCATTAAGGACAATTTTTACTTAAATTTGTACTACAGTTAGAAAATATCATTTTAGAACTTTAATAAAAAGAATCCAAGTTATTATAATTGATTTCGGTAATTGTGTAGATGGAGGAGGTCACCTTGGATGACCTTGGATTTTCAAGTATGTTGTCAAAGTTACCCTCCTGAGTGACCTTCGGAAGGTTTCAGCCCGCGCTCGTTGTTTATTGAAAATTTATTAACAATCATACAATTGCACGTTCATTAATTAACATATTCATTAAAGCAGCGAATCGTGTTGTTTTTGGCTCGAAACGAGGTCTATAATTGTTGTTCTATGAACATATCGTATAATAATTTCACAGAAAACGCCACATGGGTTTATAACTTTCCACGCGTGGAAAGCCCACGCATGTATTTTGAAGGCACTATGTGTCTAGTTCAACAATAGTGGAGCCCCCTGCAGGGGAACTATCCAAAAATATAAACTATTACCTGCTTTAAACATTTAATTGCATAATGGCAATGTATATTAAACCAAAAAGATTTCAATATATTTACGATTCACTGCTTTAAATAACTTTTCTTGTTTATGCATGTACTATTTCGACATATATATTAATCATTTATGCCTTTTAATACTCATAACTGCTACATTTCTCAAACTTTTTTTATTAGATAATAAATTTTTAATAAACAACGAGCGCGGGCTGAAACCTTCTGAAAGTCACTCAAAAGGGTGACCTTGACAACATACTTAAAAATCAAGGTCATCCAAAGTGACCTCCTCCATCTACACAATTACCTTGATTTCTTTTAACTGTATAAGGATTTATATAAAGATTTTTTAAATTGGCGATTAATCTGTAACAGAATGCCTGTCTCGCATTACATAAAAATAAAAAATCAGTTACTTATTTCATAAGGGAAGTTAAAATGTAATATAATTTTTTTCAGTTGGGTAATCACGATAATCCGCGTATTGCCTCTCGTTTTCCTGACAGATCGGATCAAATGACCATGTTATCTATGATCTTACCGGGTTTGGCAGTGACGTATAACGGTGATGAAATCGGCATGGTGGACAAAAGGGATATATCCTGGGAAGACACGAAAGATCCTCAGGCATGCCTCGCGGGTCAAGCGCAATACCTGAGTGTGACCCGAGATCCTGAACGCACGCCATTCCAATGGGACGCGACGAAGAATGCAGGTAAAGGATGATCATTTGTGTCCTCTTAGTGTGTTTAGTGTAGAATGGATAATATACTTTAATTTATATATTTTGCTATTTAATTATTTCTTGTTACGGCAGGTTTTAGCACGGCAAAGTCGACGTAGCTTCCAGTAAATCAGAATTACAAGCAGTTGAATCTGGCGAAGCAGATGGAAGCCAAGGAATCACACTACATGATTTATAAGACCTTAGCCCTCTTGCACCGTACGGAGCCGGCTCTTACCGAAGGAAGTTATAAATCGATCACGACAAACAATGACACTGTTCTGGTTGTAATTCGAAACAGTGGTTGCCACTTCGTGGTGCTTCTGATTAACTTCAGCGACGATGAATCTCAAGTTGTCGATCTGTCACAAGAAGGTCTTCCTTCGAATCTAAAGGTCCAAGTTGCTAGTTTGGGTTCTAATATGAAAGCTGAGTATGATTTATGTATTTTTTGATATTGTTTGCAATGTTTACATATAAATAAGTAAATAATAGTATAACTTTTCATATAAAAATTATGATTTTTTTATAAACGTTCTGTCAACATCAGTTCTAATTTTCTTCATAATTTCTTGGTGAAATTATTAATTTTTTAAATTACATTTTATGAAAGATCTAATTACAGAAACGTTTAGATACTCTTAATAATAAAAATAAATTTTTGTATTTTAATTAATTGGTTGTGTACATACAAGACATATGTTGTAAAAAATGCAATTGTTAAAACAATTTTCGTAAAAAATTTGCTTTTAGACTTTTTAAAGTAATTACTAATATTATATAGTTTTATGATTGAAAGAGAATTATATATTATCTATAAATTTAATATAATAATTGATAACAATGTAATAAATTACGTTTGTGTTCTTTTGTGTAGGAAACTAATTGACGTGAAGACGATATCTCTACCTGCGAAAGCTGCTGTAATATATATTACTGTATAAATATATTATTTCCGAAGTATATCTAACTTTTCTTACAAATGTTTTTAATTACACTTGTGTAATCTTTCTTGCAATAAAAAGAAACAAATAAAACAAACTTAGTTGACTATGGCCATATTTATTAGAAGAAATAATTAAGAATTTTTGGTACATTTAAGTACCTATAATTGTAATTTTTATCTAATTACTTGTAATTTGTACGTATTATAAAATTTTGCTGCATATTAATGTTGCGGATATCTGAAACTTTGTTTTGCATCATTGCCACTGTTCTGTTTCTGGAGTTATTAATATATTAGATATTATACTTATTTCAAATTATGTAAATATAAAAAACTTAGGTATGAATATGGTAATATTTGCATTATTTAATTATTTTGCATATTCAGTCGGAGTTAAATTTTAGACAGTTAAATATAAAAAAATTTAATAATTATTTTATTTACATGATAAGAATTTTTGAACTAACAGTAATACGTTTATTTTATCCGATTATGCTCATATATTTCGATTTAGAGTAGATATTAATTGAATTAATTTTGTCGCGGATAATTTATTGTTAGTTGGCATGGTATCGACTGTCAGTATATGCACTCGGTGGCGATTTTCTTCACGACCAGAATTAATCAACGTGCCGGTAAATCGAGACGTTGTATTGATCGCGATAAACGCATGCGCCTTTATTAATCCGATCGTATACTGGAGGGGTAATGCAACGTTACGTGCCAATAGGCCCCGAGATAGCTGCAAAGCTCGCGATGGTGCAAGTCCATAGTAGTATGTCAAAAGCAGTGTTGCACGTGTTTGTACGAACATTCGGCGAGGGTGACAGTGATCGTTTTTGATCCCGAGCTTCATACCTGCACGGTATTTAACTCAAAGAATATATCCAAATTTGATTTATTAATTCACAGTATGTTCCAACAGATACATTGACTTATTTTACTCCCCCCCCCTCCCCCGGTTATATTGTTTCTTATAATAATTTTTTTAAAGGGGATCTATGAGTTTGTGGAATCTACCATTAGGACACTGTTTACTTTAATCGATAAAACGCAATTTATAGAATGATAGAGTGTGGTTTGTTTTAACAGCTGTGCTCGTGTCACTTGCAAATTGCCCATTACTGTCTTTTAACATTTTTCACTTAATGTTATCTTATTTTTAATTTTTTGCGCGAAACATTTATAAAAATTTAGGACTGTAATAATTCATTCATTATATATTAAGTTTAGTTATTTAATAATATCTTATATTACTTTTGGTAATCATTTTTTTTCTCGAATGTGTGTATGTATTCAAAACTTTTGGTCTGTATATGTTTCTCGATTTTATTGTACAAGAATAGTTAATGTGATAATAAGATATCATATGTTTTAAATTTTAACTAACGCTTACGCAACTGTTTTATCATTTTTTTTTATTTTATGTATTGTAAATTATTTGGAGTATTTTTAACTAATATCATAAATTCTTAAATCAAAGACTTTACAAAATATTAAAAGCTTTACATATAATAAATTAAGAAATGTTTTTGTTTCGTTAATATACTTGATATGCTTGCAAATGCAGAAATGTGCAAATGTACAAATCACCTATATACTAAACTGTGTTTCGATAACAGAGTCGATAACGTGTTACACGTTGAAAATCTATTTAATAAAAAACATTTGTGTTTTTAATGTTTCTTCAATTTAAAAAATTTTTTTACTACTCAATTGCTATAACATTGTAATAATATTTTATAAGTGAAAATAATGGTTGTTTGGCATTATAATTATTTGACAATTATAAATATTCAAGCATTTGTCAATTTAATGTGTAGATTAGCGTCTGTAATCTAGCAACAGTTGTTAATTACTAACACTGTAATAACCTTACAAAGAAATATATGTTAAAAGTTCTTTTTTATAACAAATTACACACAGATTTATTTTCACACTTGTATATAGTTATGGAGTAATGCAAACATACAGATTAATATGCAGAATATTGAAACACATTTTTTAAGAGCCGAAAGAATTAAGCAATTACCATGAAATTGCATTTAAAATATTTCAAAGTAATGCAAATTCTAGCTTACGTTTTAACAAATGCGATCACGCAGCACTGATACGCAAATTTACTATTGCAACATTTATTACGAATGTTTCTTGTTTGACATTTTTGCGACGTTAGTTTTGCATGCGGAATATATTATATCATATTTTGCGTTAATAATGTGTCACTCGCCAGAAACAAAACCGTCGTCGTCTGTTCTGTTCGAATGCAGTTCTGTTAGATCACGCTACTTCGACTCGACGCATTTGTCGAGACATTCTCCTGTGACAAATTGTATTTTGCCGCACTTGTATCTATATACTATATAATATTCGTAATTTCGATTTGTCGTTGCCACAATACGCCACGTTCACGAATAAACCAAAAAATATTTTGTTCTCTCTTCCTCCCTTTTTTTCTCTTGTAATTGTAATATTTAAGAACGTCCGTATGTCAGTATGTCCCGCATAGCGCGGAACTGCATAATATAGATAACGCTGCATTGCAGTTGTGGTTCCACTGTGAAATACAATCGTTCACGTGCTGTCCGATATCGTCCACTCCCGCATGATCCGCTTGTCTAATACAATAAATTTCTTATTGATACTTGTTTGCCATCTGTTGTTTGTGCATGCCGGTCATTGCTCCTTATAATATTTTCCTTTTATCACACATACAAACTTTATGTTACTGATATAAAGTTTTATATCTCTCAGTACGTGTTGATATGCTTCTAGTTTTATTCTAATATAATCAGAGAAATATCTTTTATGTATCATCGTCAATAGAGGCCGGACCTTACTAGTAAGCGCAATATTATTTATTTTATTATTAAAATTAAAAATAAGTAAGAATGATTTAAATTAATAAAGTATTTATGATGTTTTAGTTCCACTCTGTAAATATAAGTAACTTTGCTTTTATTTTCTATTATTTATTTTATTATTTACTACTGAATATATCTTTCCTTAAAAAGAATTGATGCTCTGAAGAAAATGTTTAATTTACATTAATCATTTTTTGTTAAAATTGATGAATTTTTTTATTATTGATTTATGCTCTTCTCTCAAGTTTGATTACGTTTGACTATAAGCTATATTTCAAATGTTGAGATATATTTTTGACATATAATATCCAGTAGATATTACGTGCTTTCGGTTTCGCATCACCCACATTAAACGGAAATTCTTGCGGCGTCGAACTTGCCGTAAACATGTGGACGCAATCGATGATCTATCTTTAGACATTGTGAAAAGAGTTATATTTACGGTTTTATCAACAAAATCCCGTGATTCTTCATTATTTCTTATCACAATTATTTTTGTTAAATGTATTTTATTACTTTTTTTATTTTATCTTAATGTCGACCAATTGAGAATTTTTGTAACGTAATGTTTTAACTGCAGTAATAAATATATAAAAGATATTCATATATAATTAAGATTCAAAAAAACGCTGATTAATAAAAGTAAACACATGTATTTTTTTATAAATTTGAAAAAAAAATTTCTTGAAAGTTTAATGCATTTTCGTAGGTTACATTTTGCAAAACTTACCTACCTTATATAATTTTTTTATTGTAAAAAAAAAAAGAAATAGATTTCAGAATTTCTTGATGAAATTAGAACTGATTGCAACTTTCCAATTCTGGTATTATATACTTCGATAATTAAATGTTAACATAATTAAATTAATAATAAGATAATAATAATAAGATAATGAAATTTTTGTGCTCTTTTAAAGCACATTATTTATTTATTAAAATCTTAATTATATTAATACACGTTACAATTAATATATAAATTAAATTGTTATTAAGTAAAATTATATATTTTTAAACGCATTATGTACATTGCTTTGAGTAATTATATATTGTTATATAATGATGAATTATGTTATAATATGAAAGTAAAATTCTTATAAATGCAAGCGTTGGAATCGAGTGAATTACCAAAAATTCGTGTGCAGTGGTCAATGATAGCTTGTCGTAAAGGATATCCGTGTTGATTTTATATCTTTTGCGGTCACCACAACGTATGGTAAGCCAATTATAAAAGTTTGTTCAGTCTAATGTATTCAGTCAATAACAGACGACCGTTCTGATCATGGTTGTATATATATACGATTTTTGCGACTTTATTTTTGTTAGTTTAACTTATTTTATCATTCCTTTTTCCATGGACAGTTGAAGATAGATGTTATTTTATGCAAGAAATAGAATAGAAATTATTGTGTGTTTGTAAAGTATTATGATAAATCTATATATTCGCTTTACTCCAGAAGTTCTCAGAATAAATAAATCGTTTTAAAGTCTCTTTGTCAGTAATAAAGTGGAGCACAATATAAATGGAATGCCCTTTCCTAATAGTGTCATGTTGCGCGTTCGACTTTTTGGTGTAAAGCATGAATGCAAAAGGTCGTATATGCGACATAGCGTAATATGATATTGAATGAACGGGCGCCAAACACATTTAGATTTATTGTGATTACGTCGCTGAAAGCTTAATCAATAAGCTTACATATTATTACTAATGTAGTATTATTATAAAACACGCAATAATAGATAATTTTTCATGGAAATTTACAATTAATAGGCGTCTATGATTTTGCCGATAAATAAATAATAATATTTTAACTTTTTTACAGTAACAGAGTTAGTATAACAAAGAAAAATTATTCTTAAAGTAATATTAGTGATAATTATGTACAGACAAATACGTTATTAGTTATATGCGACAAATAACTAATAACGTGAAGATTTTTCATATGGCAGTAGACTTCACATATCATTAATTAGTTATTTGTGATAATAAATTGTACGCACAATGCAAATTACTATTTATTTTTTACATATGTAATTTATTCTCACTTTTTCGAGAACTCTAAATATTTTCTATTTTTTTTTTTATTATGGTTAAAATAATACGATTTCAAACAACTTCGGTGGCTTCGAAATTTTTATATCACTTCCAGTCGACGTATCTTTCTTTCAACTCTCTTTACTACGATTCACCGTCATCGTTTTACGCATAGCGTACACGTGTGCATAGATGAGTAGGTGGTCGCAGTGGCCTATATACATCGAAAATGAAGCTTACGTCTCTTATCTAAGATTACTTTCAGCCTTATTCGTTTCGCAGAGACTATATTGAGCCTACAGCCGACGAGGTAGGTCGCGCGAGTTTCACAAATTGCTTTGCTGAAACGGCGGAATGCGTAATCGGAATCCGGTGCAAACTACTTCAGCGAATTAGAAACCCTTGCATGATCGGCATTCAAACGAAGTTGTATCGAATAAGATCCGAATTTGCTAGAATTTCTCCTTATTGTCATAACCCATAAGATAAATTAATTATTAAATTTTATTGCTAACTTTGTGGTTAGAAAATAACGTGATTCAATTTAAAATTTTGAAAAAGTCTACAATAGTATATTGTACAACTAGTGGGAAAAATGGTCGATTCTGAATGAGTGTGAAGTTGGTTGCACGAGCGAAGCGAGTGCGACCATAACACTCATTTGGGCTCGACCACTCTCCCCACGAGTTGTTCATACTATTTTTCCTAACAAGAGCGTGAAACAGGCCGCTTTTCGCGCTTGTTTTACAATTTCATTTCTCCACTAGTTGAGAAATGGCTCCATGTTTCAACGCTTACGTCATCATCGCGAAATGGATCGTTTTGCTCACTCAAAACAGGCGCGAAAAGCGACCCATTTCACGCTCGCGTTAGGAAAAAGTATTTTTTTATTTTTACTGTTTTATTTTTATTACTTTTTGTTTTTAAATTTATAAAATGTTTTTCTATTTTACTTACCTATTTATGATTTCAGAGATGCAAAGACTGCTTTTTTGGATATATAAATTAAAATTTGTAAAAATATAATTTTTATTCATCAAACAATTATTACATTATGTTTTCTGCTTTTGCACTTTTGTAAAAGCAAGAGTTTCTGTTTATATTTTGCACGTAAACTTTCAAAAAAGCAAAAACTGAATCTTTAAAAGCTATGTATATTAATATATGGGATTTGGCTACATATTAATTAATTCTATGTTGTTGTCTCGAACTTAATCCATTTGCGTCACAAAACACTCGCTGCTTTAATTAAAATTGCAAACATATGATAAGTATTTGTATTTCCAAATACGCATAGCACATATTAATCTTTGCCATCTGTTGTGCGTAACATTTTAATTTTTTAATTTTACTTTTTTTACATTTTTATCTCTCGCATGCTATTATGAATTCAGATATTAATTGATTATTACAAATAACTTGTTGTCTAGATATACAAGAGTTCTTTGTGCCAGTAGCAGTCTTGAAGATATGGACTTTCACGGGTTAATTGCGATTCAATGCATGCAATGCATGTTCCAGGAGATGGTAGACGTTACAACTGCCTTGCCATCCAATGGAGGAGTGTCGTTAATTGGACGCACCAGAGGTGCTCTTAGGTCTGTGCGATCCGCTCTAGGAGGAAGCGGAGAGTACCTTCAGGGCCTAGGGAATAAAATAGGATCCGCTCTTAGCAGCAGCTTAGAGGAAAGCGAACTGACTACAACCCCTTCTTCGCTGTCATTGTCACCACAAGCACCACCACAGGTTATCAAGCCAGAGGAGCAATTAGGACGACGGAAACTCAGGCTCCCGAGGTAAGTAAGCGTTTTATTTTCCCAAATGCCTTATAATAATTAGGTCATATATGTTGAGAGCATAGGTATATATCACAATATTGAAACTGTAAACATGAAAGTGTGATTCAACAATTAAGGTAGGAAAGTCACCTATTATGAGATAGGCTCCTAATATGCGACAGCGAGGTTTCTGCTAAACTAATAGACCCTATCTGTTAGTTTCACCATGAACTTATTGCCCTTGGGGTAAAACCTATTTAGTGGAAAATTCATTGTTTGATCGTGCGTGTAGTCGTTGCAGAGAAAGAAATTCTGAAATTGGATGTTGTCAAGTGCCATGAATATGAGTCTTTAAACCTTGTTTATTATATAATAATTAATAAATATTTGGCAATAAGTTCTGCATGCAGTGATAGAGTAAGGTCGTATTAATAGGAAATTACGGGATATGTTGAGTTGCTCAATTGCAGAGATTAGATTTGGTGATTGTGAAACCGCAAGGCGTGGTGCTCGTAACATGAGATACTCAGGGTACTTCTGGGTTGCTGGAGTATGAAAGTTATTGTATAGTAATAAAAAAAGAGAAAATACTATATTAACGTTAAGGGAAGGTTTATACGAATTTATAAGACTGTGCTGACCTTGATTTGAGAGGGAAGGGTGGAGGGGGAAGATTAGGTACAATATTGAGTATAAGTGGGTATAAGTTAGGTATAAGTGGGTTACGATTGTTGCAAATATGCTTCTGCATCACATGTGTATTTGAGAAACATTAAATAAAGGTTTTTAATAGTAATACTAATTTATTTTGCACTTTATTAGCGATTTCCCGGGGTTTCTCATATTAGGAGCACACTTTTGCGATTTTGTCGAAAGCTCATTTTTTACATTTTTCTAATTTTCAGCAAAATTAATATTTAAATTAAATTTTACATTTCAACATCTTAAAGCTTATTAAATTCCCTTCAAAATTACCTACTATATTTTTCAATTCTGCCCATAGACTTCCGGCAATCACACAAAATAGATATGATATCTCATAATCGGGTAATATATCTCATAATCCCATAATCTTTCCTCTATTTTTATTGTCTAAACTAACATTCCTTTAATTGCGATTGAAACGAAGTTCCATATTATTAAAATACACGCGAATAATTATTATCTATATATTTCTTTAAATTTATTATTATAAATAAATATATTTCCCGTTTTATAAATAACATATTTAGAAAAATTATCCAAAACATAAAAATGTTAAAGATTATCATATTTTTTTAGATTTATTACAGTTTTTTTATATTTGCCATTGTGTTGTAGCTTTATAATTTTATTTTTTATACAATTTGCCATATAAATATTTGCTAGCCAGTACATAGTATATGTATATATAAAACCGTATAGGTACTACAATTTTCTTACAATGTAAATTCTAATTGTATGCGCAACTATTAGCAAGCTATTAACGTGTCGTATGCACTACAGCATGAATTTACCCTTGCCAGTTAAGGATAATATTGTGATGTTTGCTATATTCATGAATATTCACTCTGCGACACGCAATTTCATTCGTAGGTTTGGCGCTGGATTATCCTATGAAGATTACGAGGCAATGGCGCGGCATAAATTGGAACGACAGGGAAGCGCCAATCTTTCTAGAACGCGAAAGTACCCGCCTGGGATGACCTACGAGGAGATAGCATCCTCCAGATCAGTCTCGAGCAAGAAACAGGAGAGTCGAGCTGAGCAGGACGATATCAGTCCCGACAGCCAGGAAAGTATAGAGCCCATTCAGGAGCAGGACATCAAAGCGACCGGACCTGATCCTTATGAGAAATTGAATTACAAAGCAGGTGATTAGCTCTCGTCTCCAATTATATTATCCGCGGCAGACGCCGAACGCTCCTCGTCTTTGACGACGATCGCTACATATATCTCTCTCACTCGCGGTTGTCGCAATCATGCAGTTATCGAGACTCGGATGAAAATAATATGCTGTATTCTTCTTTCTTTTCACGAAGCAAGAGCGCCGACCCGCTATCAGACGGTTGTTTTCCGTTTAGGTAAATGTAACAGTCAGTCAGTGTGGACTGCCCCTGTGATCTCACCCGCGTGTCCTCTCAGTGTACTACACGTAGGGATGCTTCAGCTTAAAATATCGATACTTTTACATGTTTACCAATAAACTAAACCATTAGGATACGTGAAGTACCAATTGATATTTTATTTGACACTCTATTAAAATGCAATGGTATTCTATATATTTGTATATAAGTTTTTGATATATTGAGGAAAAAATAAGAACAACGCAAATAATTATTATATTTTATAAAAATATATAAATTAGTTTTTAGAAAATTTTATTCCATAAAAGATTATTATGTCTCTAATAGCGATAAAATATTAACGATGTTATGTTCAGCTGCGATTTAATATATTTTTTCCAAATATTGATATGCACAGCTAATGAAATTAATTATCTACATTTAAAATATATATCCGAACAAAGTCTCGATATTTAGAAGCTATTGACATCTTATGCTCGAGTTTCTGACCCTTCTTCCTCAGCTAGATGTGATTAGCGAATACTAGTGCAATCGATATGTTCGCGTAACCCGGTGTTCGAATATCCGTGGGTCGATTGCGATGAGACTTCATGTGGTTTGACCTGAAAGTATTGATTTTCGTAATTAAACGTTTTATGGTGCTTCAAGCTATTTAAATGGATCAGAATCTAATTTGCTTTTTAGTCTCTTTTGCGTTATATTTAAGTTATACAATGTATAAATAAAAAATAGAAGACTTTTTTAATCCTTTTTAATTAAATTTTGTAACATTTATTTTCGTACAGATTGTTTTGATTTAAATATAATTTTAATGTGTATATTATATACACTCTTTTAAATTTTATTCCGGGTTTACTTACCTATATTATTCCGGATTTCTATCTAATATCATTTTTTTACGAATAAATAATAAACACGGCGAGAATAAATAAATGCATCTTAAATTTATACATTTTAATAACGACGAGGATATTAAAAAAAGAGAGGTAAATTATTTGTATTATACATATGTATATAACACATCATAAAATTTTAATATCAGAAAGAGAACTATGATTAGCAATTGTTGCATCTTTATATTTCTTTAAAATTAGAACTGCACAAAATTTAATTATATGCATAAAATTTAATTGTATTAAATTATGAAATTTAAATTAAAAGTCACACATGATTTTTTAAATATATTTTTTAAAATAAATTTAAAATAAATTTTGGAAAAGATACGATTAAACACTTTGTTTTGTTATTTCAATGTAATCACTTTTTTTTAGACGTGTTATATATAAAATACAATTCGACACTTGTATATTCGAACACGTCGTCATACTTGTAGTTTCTTACCAGACATTGCATCCTTTTGGTAAAAATGTTGTTACCTGTGTATATGTGTACATACTTTCACACGAACTGCCTATTACACTCCGATTGCATTCATACTATTCATAGTTTGAATGAAGAACCGTTCTACGTGGGTGGGAAAAATTCCATTGCGTGCAGTACCTAACAGTCTCGCGATAAACAATCACACTTATCGTCTACTGGATGCTCAGTTATTTCCGCAACATTGAGCGATACATTGCAAGGATATGTAGACAGTTAAGTAATATCGCGGATGTAAATATGTAACTATTGATATCATATATAACACTGACCACTTGCAAGTGTGCGTCGCTATACTGTGGATCATTTTACTTTGAAACATTTCGTGACACAAGTCAACAAGTGACTGCGGTAATTTTACGTCTCGTTGATGGGATATGAATAGTAACTCTAGGCAAGTAATCCTTAGCATAAAATATTTATTTGCATAAAATTCATATTATAATAGTGCATTAAAATTAAAGATTATTGATTATATTTATATATTTTTTTAAATTAATCTGAAAAAAATATTGCTTTAATTAAAATATAATTTAGTGTATATCATAAGACACGCTTTTTAATTTTATTTCGGGTTTATCGATTTATATGTTTTTTTTATTTACATATTTTATTGCGGAAATTCTTAATATTAATTCAGAACTAATGCAACCGGAATATAATTATGCAATAGTAACGGACACTTTAGTTGCATAGTTTAGTTAACTGTTATCTCTTTGTCATTTATTTTTGTCCGACAAATCATTAGATTAGATTCGATTGCAAGTTTAGGTGTCGCCCGTGACGCACCATTGCTTGATACATTAATTACAATCATGTTAACGATTACACTCAGATATATGTATATTTGGCACAAGGTATTTTTTCTATTTTAGACATGCCGTGTAGTAGTGATTCTACGAGCGATCAAGATGGATACGGACCTAGTACTAGTTTAGATTCCAACATGGATGGTCGCAGAATATGGCAAAGATCAGGTATCGATTATAATTTTTGTATATGTATTCACTTTTATTGAGAAACAATTTTAAACTGTTTACCAATTGAAGTCTTTGTCTAAATAAGAATGTGCATATAACAATACTATAAATAAAAGTACTGCAACATGTTTAATAACATTGTTGCTCAGGATCATCGGGTTCCGTTCAGTCTTGGGCTTCAAGCTTATCGGCTGATAGTCAATCGGAGGAAGCTGCCGCAGACTTCATGAAAGCTTTTGTACCTTTACTATTCGACGCGCCTAATACTATCGATCAAGAGCAAAAGGCTAATTTTGGGCAGATGGTTTTGGTACTTATCAAATGTTATAAAAAAATTTTAATTGCAACATTATAGTTACTTTTTATAACAAATAAAAATATTAAACAAATTGCAAAATAGATGTAACTCTTCTATGAATAATTAGTAAAAGAATATATTTATTTTGACACTTGATTTAATGTAATAATATATTTGCAGACAGAATCGGGAAGAATATGGTTCTCCAGGGTGGTGAACGCAAGAAGAGCACGTGCGTGTGTCACAGAAGCTTCATTTTATTCTTTGGCGCAGCATTTTGCAGTCGCGCTATTCGAATGCCACGAAGCGGACGATTTTGCGCCCGCTAAAAGCCTCATGAATATGTGCTTCACTTTCTATCACGAAGGTAACAAGAAGCTATTCAAAGTAAAAATCCTGAAAAACATTAAATTAATTATTAAATGTTGAGATGATAATTTTAGAATAATACAGAAATATTGCAAAAAGAAGAATTATATTAAACATTGATGACTAATATAACACGTATTATAATAATCTTTTATAATACCATTATGTTATTAATTAAATATTTAAGAGACACAATAATAATATAATCTTCAAGCTAAATTATAATAAACACTAAGACATATGCATGATTACTATTAAACTGTTAAAAAATGATGTACCTTTTAATTCGTATATCTTGCTCATTTTTACTGCTTACCTACTATTTATATTAATGCGCTGAGTACTTATGGTTAAGATTGTACATTATGTGATTTTAGTGGAAGTTCCTGGATTAGAGCCCTATCGTGAATATCTGTACACGCATTTACGCGTACAACCAATATGGACGTCCATGAGATTTTGGACGGCTGCTTTTTTTGACGCAGTACAATGTGAGCGAGCGTCAAGACCGGTACCACCTCGACCGAAATCCTTAGATCAGGAAAGTCTCGCTGCCGAAGATAGAAAGTTTCAAGCAAACATTGTCTTCGGACAGTTAGGGTAAATACTCCATAATTAATACTTCCATAATCAATTAAATGAAATCTATAATTAATCATTTATTAATTTTTTTTTATTTTAACGATAACAATTTTTAATGATTTCTTTTAGGACTTTTACTTGTAACATGCATGCTTTCGGCCTGTCACGAGCTTTATGCACAGAGTTTCTCCGGAAACAATGTATTATTGCTAATTTAACTAAAGGTGATTATATATATCCATATTTAATTAATATTGACGTAATTATAATTTTTTAATTAGAAAACTCTAACAATAAGTTTAAAATGCTGGAAATATTTATATTTCGATTTTTTAGAACAAGAGAAAATGCTGCGAGATAACATAGATCGAATGTTCGATGAGACCGAGCCATGGCGATAGTTTAGTCTGAGAGAAGAAATAGAACCGATTTTTTGAAAATTTAAAGAAACTTTAAAGAAACGTTTTGCAATGTTTTGTCTTGAAAATATTTCCGACAAAATCAAATTGTCTTCGAGCGCCGAGAAAGCGGAGAAGTCAATTATGAAAACAATCTTGTTAATACCGTTGATGTAAATCGATATTTGTCAAATTTTTCGCGGTATTCGACGATGGACACGTCAATTCCTAATGCAAACACTGCACAGATTTCGCGCCTTAAATTGTGAAAAGTATTTTGTATTTTACGTTTCTAATATAAAAAAAAATTTACAAAACTGCGTTAAGGAATTAATCTTATAACGCTGACAAAAATAAAAAGTTAAAATTTGAAAATTGGGATTTAGAATATAACTTTAAGTTTTAAAATAAAATATTAAAAATTACATAGCGATGATAGAGGGTTAAGAATATAATAAAAATGACAATAAAGCAAAAATGGAACTGTATTATTGACAGTTTGATTGAAAAAGTGATTTATGTTGAGTGTAATTTTGAAAAAATGAAGGAAGAAATATTCTTAATAGTAAAAAGCACGTAATTCAATACATAGGTAATTTTTTATACATACACGCCAAAATTTATTTTATTTCTCAAATAAAATTTTACACAAATGTTTTGTTAAGAAAGTCTACTGTCACATTTTAAGCGAAAAATCTATAATCTTTTTTCTATATTACTTTATGTCATTACAAAATGTAATAAACAGCTTTGATGCGTTAAAAACTAGTTTTAACATAAGATTAAAGTTTGTAGCATTGTTTATAATTAAATTTACTGTTTTTATTACTCTGAAATTAATAACAACAAAAATACGAATTATAAGTAGGCATTACTTTATATTGCATCTTTCCTGGTAAACACACAATAGTCACACAAGAAGTCTTAATGCGTTACATGCGTAATTTTGCACTAGTTTAGCAATTTCTGAAAATTATGATGCATTTTGTAAATGAGGCTTATAAACATATATAAATAACAAGTTTAATCTTTGTTATTAGGCAGAAGTGTTTAGCAGAAGTTTTTTTCTAATAGCAAATATCAACAAATATAATCGTGCAATTTGTGCATTTCGACGGCTTAATTGTTATCACACACATCATGCAATGTAAATAATTTTTAGAGAAAAGCTTGTACTTAAACACATATCATCAAATGCAAATTAATACGCTTTATTTTATTTTATATCTACTACCTGCGATATATCTGCAAAAGAATGATAAACTCAGAAAATGCTGAAGATAAATAAAGATAAATAAATTTCATTACCGCTTTTCAGAATCTTTAAATATAATAATTTAATAATCCCTTCTATTATATGCATATACAGATATATGTATATTAAAGTAAAAATCCGGAAATTAAAAAAAAGCAGTATAAAAAAGCAATTGTATATAGTGCAAAAATAAAGAGGATAGATTACACATATCTATTATTTTACCAAATAATGAATTTATTAAAATATATTATTTTAAAATCTATAAAATGTAATATTATATAGAAGAATTATTGTATAAAATTAATTGATTTATTTATGTCTTACACTTTATGTTTGAGATCGCGATAACGGGCATCTCGAGAACCGCTCTCAGGTGATTGTCAGCGCATGCACGCTTGCGATAATTAATATGCGCTTAAAATCTTGCCTTAAATTCGCAGTAATAATGTTCAGTATTATAGCATGGATCTTTCGGTATTCGCAGTCTGGAAAATTTTCTAACATTGTTATGAATAATAAGGACAAGCTTGTTCGACGGTCCGAACGACTTGTTTGTGCTTACACAAAGGAAAGATCCATGCTATAAACAAAGCAGTCGAAAAACAAGTAACGATCTTCTCGGGTCGTCACTTGAAATGGTGACGTATGCACGGTGACGTAGGCCGCCGGTGGCCAATCACCTCCCCGAAATTATCGACAATTAGCCTGGAGGGAGGCTCGTCTCCGAGACGATAAAAGACCGCCGCTGCGCCGCGGAACTGTCTGTCCCCTTTTTCGGCTGTTCGCTCGCTTATCACCAAGTAGTTTTTCGGTACAACCACTTAGCTTTTCGCACTCGCTTGCTTGCACCGCTTTGCCGTATAACGTCTGTGCACTTTCACGGCTCCGCTTTCTTTGCTGAAAAGAAAGAACTGTACATATACTCTGTAAATATACTCTTTAATTTTCTGTTACTTGCTGTGTCGTCATTTGTGGTCGTCTTCTACCTCGCGCTATCTCGCGCTATCGCGTGCTCTCGGACACTTTATAATAATTTTAAAATTATGCTATATACGTCTGCAAAATTTATATTTATTTTCATCAATTATTTTAAAATTATTGATTGCATTAATGCGCTGATACACAATGTGGGCAAACATTTTTTTAATTATATGACAAATTTTTGTTATTTATTATTTTCCAAAAATATCTTCGACGATTTTCGTAAATTTTATTTAACCTCTTTGGACATCTTAGAACTTTTTTCCTTTGTACTCTTTATGCCGTTCAAAGTGTATGGTTTTAAAAAGGAAGTTTTTAACGGTCTCTTAGGAAGAGAGGATTTCTCTCTATTGTTGTCAACTTTTCTAGGACTTGTACAGGATTAATTTTGAAAGCTTATATCTGGATATGGATTCCATCGATCTTGAGAAGATAATAGATTACTTCGTTTCCAATCTAAAGATTTTCGAAGTTCTTCTCGAACCTTCATATACTTTTTAGATAATAAGAAAGATTTATTGTCTTCTCTTGGTAATGACTGTTTATTGTTTATAAGGGACTCAGTGGATACTTCACTAAACGGTTCAGATTTCTCCGAAAGCTTCTCCAGAATTCAGTCATCTGGAATCATTTTGGGGGAAAAGCTATTTGTGGCATTGCTTTTGATAGGTTTTAGTTGTTTCAACTTATCGATATTCTGAATTTCGTTTCTAATATCTAAAATGTCCCTTGTCCTGCTTGATTGTTGTACGCAGTTGAAATCATAATCAAATATGCTTCGCGGACTTTGAATGTTCTTCAAACTTGATTCGATTATGTCAGCCAGGTCGAAATTGTTATTTCCACTATAAAAAGATTCTCGGACGACGCCTTATCAGTATTAAATATTTTAGACTGGATCGCAATTACTTTTTTTTTAGGTTTGCTCTTTACTTTTGATTGAGTCTTGCTATGCAAATTTTGTGTTAAAAGTGGGGACGATTCGATATTTCCTACAATATTTTTGGAAATAGACGTTTTAGAAGCAGTTTGTGTTTTAGATTTTAATTTACTTTCTTGTCTTGATGTCGTTGATTTCATAGTGATATTGTTAATTATATTCGAGTATTTTTCGTCCAATTTTATCGTCCAATTTATTTGTTTGTTAGGTATTCTTTTACGTTTAGAAACACTATCAGTTTCTTGTTTTGTGGTTGTTTTTGACATAATTACATCTTTTTTTATATTCTTTTCATTCATGTTGCATGTGAAGCTAGTATTTTTTATATCATTTTTTTGCAAAAGCGACTTCTCGTTCTTTGTAGATGTGCGAAATCGAGTATCAGACATTGTTTTGGAAAATGGGATTGTTACGAGATCTGTAATCGAAGATTCTGAGCGTTTTTTCGTTTTGTTTGAGACAGATTTTGATGCATCAATGATAGGTCTCATTAATAATTTGTTAATTTTTTTATTATTTTTAATTGATGACGGAATTTGAAGATTCTTAAAAATATATATTTACTATATATTTTTATCAAATACAAATTTTTTGTTAATTATTTCCGTTTACTATTTCGTACCCTTTGATCTTTGATTGATGCCTGCATTTGTTTGTCTCTATACAATTGCTTCCAACTACAGACTACAATTATTTCCCGCTCTTCTAAGCTAATATTGGCTTTTTTGTCTCTGGTATAAAGTATTTGCCAAACTGAATCAGTATTGAATACCTGGTAAAAAAATACAATCTATTAGACAAATAATAGGATTAATATAAGCAATAAGTATATTCCTATTTCTCTACTTTTTTTATATTTTATTTATTTTATTTAATAAATAATTTTCTTTTAATAAAAACTGAACTAAAGACAGCACAATTTTTTTCTTTTTATTATCTATATCATAAAAGTAAAAAAATAATGCACAAGAACAATATTTTGTATGTTGATAGCATATATGTTTCTTGCTATCTTAAAAAAAAGACAAAGAAGCAGAGTAGAAAATTAAATTACCATTAATCTTAATAATTCTTTTACCTCATAGGCGACATGTGATAATGACGATAATTTAATTATGTCTGTAAATTCTTGATATCTTGATATTTTTTCGATGAAAAATATTGGTAAAGTTAAAAGAGTATTTTTATTTCCTTCAGCAATGTTGTATACATGTTTTAATAAATATTTACCTGCGATAAATTGGAAATTGCAACTTAGCGAAATTATTAAGAGAATAAAAATAACCTTATCTCTTTGATGAAGTATCCCATAATATAATTAATACATAAAAATATTTTTATTTTTTTCATTGCATGTATCTACAATTATATATGAACTTATCGGACATACTTGTCATTTATTGTGTGTTTTTAATTAAATATATAAAACCTGCAGAATTTGTTATAGATAGAATTAAGCATTCTTTTTGAATAAATGCCTCACCAAATCCACGACGTATTTCGTTCTGCAAAGATTTTTCTTGACTGAATTCTATAAGTTTGGCGCGATATACGATCGGTGCTTTATAAGGTCCGTGAGAAATTCTTCATAAGAATAGAATTATCTAAGAAATATGAAAAGGTTAACAAAAAGGCAGATGACGTTAACTTTATCAGTACCTCGTCTTGAAAAACCTTCAGACCGTAATAGTCTCTGCTGGGCGAAGGTGCAACTGAATACTTCACCAAGTATTCAATATTGTTGCTGCTCGACGGGATCACGTTGAAAAAGTTTGATCTGAACACCGCAATTAGTGTTGGCTCCTTAATGCAGAATGACGTGATTGACGTGCATATCAAATCGAAACGTATAGGGTGTTGCATTTTGGATATTAGGTCTAATAGTTAAATATTTTTATTAGCAATTTTTATATTTAAATATGTAAATTATGAAAAAAACATTTTAATTAAAAACCAATTTGAGTTAAATAACGAAAACATAATTTGATAACTGTAATGTAGATAGATAATTATTGTTGTGATAATTATGTGATATTTATTAATTGTCATTAAGGGGATCCTGGAGCGACGGCAATTATCGATATTTATAGGTGCCCGATTTTCTTCAAATTTTCTTTACAGATTTGAAATCCCATTAACAAGTTTAAAGTATGTACAGAAATGATGGGTGGAATAGTAAATTGAAGACTAAAAACTTAAAGAAATTGAAAAAATTATATTTGATATTACTTTTGGTGTTGCAGCTTTTGTATTTAAAGCTGTCACTTCATGAAAACTTTCATTTAATATACGAATTATATAGCTTACGTGTACATACATGCAAATCGAAAATACCTCACTAATCGGACTAGATCAAAGAACAACGTTGAATCATTGAAACTAAGATTAAAAGCCTAATAAGAAAGATTTTCCACCCAAAAAAAAATATTCTGCCGATAAGTGGGGAATTCCTCTTAGCAGTTCCTCTAAGCAAAAAAAACATTATATGAAGAATATCCTTCTTTAAGTAATACGTATTACTTTATAAATGAGTGGATGCGTAAGCTATAATCAAGAGTAAATTCCTCTACAGTAAATTCTACTATTAGCCTCTTAAAATAAGAGGATATGCTAGATATTTGCGGCGCGCGCGTTAAAGTTAAAAGACGATCGTCTTATTAGCTACGCGATGCGTACGCTACCACACGAGACGCCCGTGTAGAAAGTTCAGCCCCTTGCACAATGCCAGGCAACAGGCAATAGGAACAGGAAATAATAAAAAATCGTTAATTACAACCTAAAATATTCGAATGTTATGATTTGTTGGCAACAGGCAATAGACACATAATTTCCAACGTGACGGAAACTCCTGTGTCTATTGCCTGTGTCACTGTTTATTCTGCATTTATATACATTGATTTCTGATTTTTATTCCCTGTTCCTATTGCCTGTTGTCTTTATTAAGAATGGCCTTATATAACATAAGTCCTCGATCATTAGTTATATATTAGGGATGCCATAAGAAAGATTTCCTTATTTTAACCTGATGAGGTCCCTATCATTATTTATTAGGGATTCCATAAGAAAGGTTTCCTTATTTTTATCTAATAAGGTCCTTGTAAGGATTTGATAAGGATGTTTTAACT